TATATCTAACTCTATAGCAACTCATTTGGAGATACAAACTAAGACTAATAAACTTCCAGCTTCACACTACTATCAATGGCACTTTTGAATTTCTAAAATGGAAAAAAAAAACCTCTGGACCTCATTCAAATATCAATATAGAAGTACTATGCTTTTGAACATCTATGAAATCCATTCTGTTTTTCAGTCACATTTAAAACAGGAGCCATAAAACTCTATAGACACCTGATTTATTAGTCCAAAGTATTGACAATCACAGTGGACTAAAAAATCTTTTGACCAGAAAGAATACCCTTAAAGATAATGATTTACCTTATAACTTTCAAAAACTTGGTTTCACAAGTTTGACCTCGCTATCCATTCTCGAAGGCAATTTGTGCTTCTTTGGGCAACCAAAATAATTTGGGTAGTAGCTTACTGTAGTTACTGTAAAGTAACAACACAGGGATGGAAACCTTACAGATAATGTTTAGTTGAGACTGTCTTTGGAGTTCTTCCTATAACGAAAAGCTCATTATTTGGATTGATGGTGTGTCAGAAATTAATATAAAGTGTAATGATCTGAGACATTAAAATTTCAACTAAAAAACCTCAAAAAGCTAAAAGGATTAAGGTTTTCATTTGTTTAAACAAACAACCCTCACAACTCAGTAAGGAGTTTCTAGCTGTACAAAAGTCTCCTATGTTCCTCTAATGTGTTAGAAGATAAAAATACCAAAACAGTCTAAGATCAACTCTGACATACTAAAATCCTACTCATCTGCAGGCCAACATATTGATCATGCTTCCAAATCTCTGATCCATCATCTTGCCTTCAAAAGGCAACTTTACTATTGCTTCATTAAGCATGTACCATTCTATTTAATAAATGAACATGGCATTTTATGATCATAAAAGGTCATGTACTTTCTAACTGCCAAGCCACATACACAAAATGCTTCTCAAACCTGTTTGTTTTGAAGCTAAATTGTGGTTTGATTCATTAAGGTAATTTTTGAAAAAGCCCACACTTCACCATCACTTTAGACCAGGTGTCAAACACATAGCCCCCATTTCAATCTGAGTCTGACACCACTAGTTTAGACCATAAAAATGTCCTATCTTCACTGACAACAGTTACAGTTCTCATATTACATCAAAGGCAAAAAGTTAATCCTGTATTTACTTAAATTTTCATTCAGTGCAAAATTAATATCTAAATATCTCCAACTATAAATACATAACCTCTGTCCTCTGGGAACTCTCCTATAAAAGCCCAAACTGGAAAGTCAATACAAGTACCTGAAAATACACCTGTCTATTCACAGAAAGGAAGTATGATTGAGAAATATTGGAGGACACCCCAGGATTTTAATGAAGTTAAAATTTATAGCAAATTTTACAATAAACTCAGTCCCTTATATAGCATAGAAGATGCACAATTACATACAATTTCTATAATATTTGGGCACCAAGAAATAGTGCATGGCAAGGAATTTAAAGAGTTTCCTTGCTCTTTTTTCACGTTATATGACAACATTGGATGACAAACTAAAGCATTTTCATCTGGTATGAAAGTATTTGGTTTCACAATGAATGGAATCCTAGCAACCCAAAAATTGAATAATGAAGCCTTACTAATAAAATGTCATACTATAGATCAGGTTTGATTAGTCCAAGTTGTCTACAGTTTCAATGTAACACATACATTTTCTCATTCATTTCCCAGGAAAATTGTCAAAGGCTGACAGCTTGTATTGTGGCAGATCTAGGCCTGAAATTCATAAATGGACAGCCTTGGCTGATTGGCCCTTGGCCAGCTATGAGAGGCTCTGCATGTGTTAGTTCGTGCACAAACAACAGGAAACATTTAGCCTGGTTGCTCTCATTGATGAACATCTTTTAACCCCAAAACAATCAACTCTCAACTTTTTCCCCCAAGAAAAATATAGTAAAGGCCACAAAATATCTACCCCTCTATGCTCCATACAGGACTAAAATACTTTTCCAACATAAAGAATATCTATCAAAAGCTATATATATACATACACACACCCACATAAAGCAAAATGCTAATTTTTATTCAAGATTCCTAGCTTAAGCCTTTTTAAAGATGAACCCTGTCATTTTGCAACTGAGGAAACTGAGGCCCAGAGGGATGAAATGACCTGTCCCAAGGAACACTAGTAGGAAGTAAATAAGCCAGGATTCAAATTTTAGTGCTCTTTTCAACTACACCACTTGGCATCTAATCTACACCATAGTTTTTACTCTCATAATGTTTGCCTATGCAGTACAAGTTATTCCATTGTTAATCCTTAGTCACTCTGTCCTCAGTACAGTGCGCTTGGTGCTGATTCATTACCCCATATGCTTAGGTACTGAAGCATTTTTTGGCTTTTCTTTGGCATAACCATATTGAGGGACTTTTGCACTACTCTCCTCAGTTCAAATTTAGCACATACCTTTGATCTATTTATGTATCACTGCCCTTTGATTCCCTATTTAAGACTCTACCAGCATAATTCATGCTTCAGCCTAACCACTTCTGAAAATTTCAAGCTTAAATAAGGATTTTTAAATATGTCCCACATTTTCACCATGGCTTATCAACTGTTTTTTCCACTTGATTTAACTGAGCCTCTAATCTCATTTTTCTGAGGTACATTGGCTACAATCACAACATAGCAATGGCTTTAAAAAATTCAATATGCTCTACTAATTTTACAATGTGGTAGAAAACAAGCTAAACAAGGGAATATATTCAGCTTCACTCAAAGAATATACATTCATAACTTACCAGTAGCATTTACTGAATATGTTCAACCAAACAAATTAAGCTGCATAGCAAGGAAGGAATATGGAGAAACGAAAAAAAAAATTTTCATGAAAAAATGTTGAATATTAATATTCTAGTGACAATCCAAATTTTCATTTTTTAACAAACTGATTTTAGACAATTTATTCACTTGATCTGTCCATTCCCGTTAGCCACTGTCCTACTTCACTCCCACTTTTTGTAGCTCACCTCTTTCAGAAAGTGCTCCCACAAAAGATAGCACCATTTCCTTTCCTCAATCTTTTCTTGCAGTCTGGCTTCTGACCTCATCACTCAACATAAACTGGCCTCTCCAAAATTATTAGTGATCTAATGGCCTTTTCTTAATCCCCATCCTTCCCCTCTCTGCAGTATCTGACACTGCTGATCACCCTCTTCTTGAGTTCTCTCAAATTTAGATATACTGCTTTCTCCTATTTCTCCCCTTATCTGTCTGACTGCTCCTTCTCACTCTCCTTTCATAATCTTCATTCAGGTCATACCTGCTAACCACAGATATCACTCTCTCCTAGGCTCTCTAGATCTATACTTATATAGAAATATAATAATATATAAGTGAAATATATATATTTCACTTGATCTCATCAGCTCCCCTGGTTTCAATGATCATCTCTGTACAGATCACTCTGATCTACTTGTCCAGTCCTAACCTCTCTCCTAACTTTCAGTTTCACCATATTCTACTCCTGGTTGTCCCAGAGACATATTCAACTCAGTGCATTCAGAACAGAATTTTCATTATCTTTCCCCAAAAATGCTCCCTTCTTCCTAATTTCCCCATTATTGTTGAGGACACCACCATCCTCCTAGTCATGAAACCTTACTCTCCTTACTCTCTCACTCTCCATATCCAACCAAGTTGTCAAGACTTGTCATTTCTACCTTTGTAAAAACTCTCCCATAAACTGCCTTTTCTTCTCTGACAGTACTGTGACCCTGGCGCAGACTCTCATGACCTAATACAACTGGCTGATAACAAAAGCCTTTTGGTTCATTTCTCTGCCTCAAGTCTCTCCAACTGATAATCTGCTCAGCTGTCAAAATCATCTTCCTAAAGTCCAGGTCTGACTATGTCACACCTTTCCCTCCTCCTCCCCCAATTCAAAAAACTCCAGTAACTCCCTATTTCCTCCAGGATCAAATATAAATCCTGTTTGGCTTTTAAAGCCCTTCATAATCCGGACCCTTCCTACCTTCTTACACTTCACTCCCCTCCAACTAGTCTGTTATCCAATAATGCTGACTTCCGATTCCTGAGTGTACATTTTCATTGGATGACCCCGTGTCTGGAACACCTGGCTTCTCTGACTTCCATTAAGTCCCAGCTAAAATCCTACCTTCTGCAAAAAGCCTTTCCCAGTTCTCCTTCATTTTAGTGCCTTCATTCTCAGACTACCCCCTGCCCAATTTAGCCTCTCTATATCTTTTTTGTACATAGTTGTTTGCATATTGCCCCCTCTGATTAGACTGTGAACTCTTTCCCTTATATTTCCAGTACTTAGCACTATGCCAAGCACATAAATGGCACTGAGTAAATGTTAATCGATTGTTTCTTACCCCAATATTTTGATCATGAGGGTGAAGATATTTTTTAAAAGTTAAAATAAAAAGGTAGCGGGGGAAAATGACCTTTGGACAAAATACATAAGTATAAGTATTCTCTTAGGCAAAAAGATTCAGGACCACAAGCTCTGTGGTGGCAGAATTCTAAGTTCAAAATATTCTAAATTCAGCCCAATAATTTTCTATTAGGGAAATGCTTGAATCAATGCCCTATTCTAATTTTTGTCCATCTGGTTGAAAAGCAATTTAGAAATGACAATTATGAAGAGATAGAAATCTGTATGGCATGCATATTCTCACAATTAGATCTAAAACTGTATTTTATTATTAAAAGTGGCAGCTTCTCAAAAGTCTTCTGCTTACAGCCTCTCAATGTTGAGAAATATGATGAGAACAATATAAGACTCCAAGGAAAGTATTTGTATTTTGCAATTAAGCTAATAACACCTTAATTTACCACCTAAATACTGAAAAATACTCAGGTAATCAATACTTTAGTAAAAAAAAAAAAGTTAAATTCATAAATTACCCAATATTCTGCCATCATTAATGGGATTAATAAAAGGAATCTTTTAAGTTAGCAAAAATCCATAAAGACAACTCAAACCCTCACACTTACATTCCCCATGTATTCAGAAAGTAGATCCTGTAAGGCCTGTCGAACTGCATTGCACTCTGCAACAATACGTTCCCGCCGATCATCACGAGTACAAGATGAATCCGCCATCAGGGCTGCTCCACTGATGATACTCTCCAGGCGCTCCTCAAGAGAAGGTCTGAAACGCTCTTCACTGAAGCTCAGAGGGTCAACGATTATTTGTTTCTGGAAAAGAAAATATTATTATCTATTACCTATAACTATGCCATTACCTAAGAAAAACTTTGATTACAATTCGATAAGCATACAAATAGTCAAACATATGGAGGAAATTTATACTTCATGACAGATTGAAGGTAACATTTCCAGGGATAATCCCACATAATGATGAGCTGTGTTCAACTGGCAGTTCATTTTTTCTAAGTACTGCAAACCAACAACTTAGCAAAACTTGGCCTCTATGAAGCATGTTACAGAAAAAACAGATGCAAATATGTCAGCCTAAATCAAATTCAAACTACCGAACTCTTGAGTTACCTACAAGTCCATCTGTACAATGCTAACTATTAAAGTTGTCCAATGTAATTACCTCATCATAAGCAAACAAGGAAAGTGGGTTGGTTTCCTCTTGAACCTGTAAAAGTGCCATGGTATAGACTATACATAGCAAGCTTGGCTATGCAACATCAGATGAACTATGTTTTTCAAATAATCATCCCCCAAATCTCACTGACTCAAAAGGCAGTTTCAGAATAAAATCCATTTAATTCATGGTTAATGTATTGATAGCTTAATAATAGAGAGCTGTGAACCTGTCTCAAATTTGGTCTCAGTCCCACCTCTATTCTAGCTCCCTGCTTCTTAGAATTCCTTCTAGCTTCTGATTTCCACTCCCAGTGTATCATCTAGTTCTTTTGTATGATTAGATTTTAAGTACTTCAAGGCCAGGAAATGTGTTTATAAATAATTTGGAAAATGCCTTGCAATATGGTCCAATGAAGCTCATCCTTACTGTGATAGCAAATGATTTATGTATTAAGGAATTAAGTTTTTGCATTCAGAAAAATATTTCACAGTATGTACCATTCTTGATTTTTGGTCATGTTGAAGGATAAAAAATTTTAATGTTTTCAAAACTCATTGGTTTCAGAAGAGTGTTATTCAATACACAGGTTTAGAGAAATGTCAAGCAGGTGGCAGGCATGCTGTAAAGGAATTTGAAGGATCTGGACTCAAATCAAAGCTCTGCTAACAAATACTTGCATGACCTTGGGCAAGTCACTTAATCTCTCTTGGCCTCAACCACATTTATTAAGCACTTATTATGGCCAGGCCCTATACTGAGAGCTAGGGATACAAAGAAAGGCAAAAACTAGCCTCCTGACCTCAATGAGCTTACATACTAATAGGAGTAAAATGAGGAACCCAGACTGAATGATCTCTAAGGTACTCTACTAGCCAAATCTATGATCTTGAATTCCTTTTCAAAGGAAATCAATTCACTTCTCAGTTCTTCACATAAGAAATTTCATGTTCTGAGTCCACACATTTTCATTGGCTGTTTTCCATGCCTGTAATTCTCTCCATCCTCACCTCTACTTCTTGATTTCCTTGTCTTCCTTCAAGTTTCAGCTAATCTGAATTTCCTCTCTAGCTTCAAGTCTCAGCTAAAAGCCCACCCTCTATGAAAAGCCTTTCCCCTTAATGCTATAATGCCTTTGCTGAGATTACCTGTAATTTGCCCTATACATGTCTTGTATGGACAGAGTTGTTTTACTTATTGTTTCTTCCATTCCAATTTGATCTGCTTGAGAAGCATTTCTTTGTGGCCTCAGAACATAGCCCAGTGCCTAGCACATAGTCAGCACTGAATAAATGCTTGTTGGCTGACTGCATACTATTCAAATGATCCTGTGAGTTCATCAATCTGAATGTTCCCTCCAACAATGAAAATTACAATCCACTCATGAATTCTGGTAAATTTGACACGGGATCCAACAAACAAGTTGTGGAAACCAGTAGAACACTACAGCTATCTTCCTGTCATTGCACATTATGTGACCAGCCCAGCTTCTTTTCCTATTATTTATTAGCCCACTGATATTGTCTGTTCTTGTTCTTTGAAAGTCTTCATTGGTTATATATTTCAGCATGCTCACATTCATCACACACTTCTCCGTTGCCCTCCATGTAATATTCATTTTCAGTTCTTCAGAGACTGTTATATTTGATACCTCACAATCATACTATGCCACCAATTTTTAAAAAGATGAGTCTCTTTATTCCAGGAGAAGCTTGGGGTCATTAAATGAGCTTTGTAATTTTCTGAAGGCAATTCAGCCCTCTCTCTTCCTCCTGTTTAACTGTGGGCCCAATTCATTGTCCACCTATGCTGTCTGTCCAACATATGCATATTGATGGCAAAGGGTATCCATACATCTGCATGTCCCAATCTGAGCAAGAAATACTTCATGCATTTGATTTTTTCTGTGTGGATGGTCGGGCCAAACTCTTTCAAATGGTTATAGATCTCTTCCAGGAGACTAATATTCTAGACTATATCTTTACAGGAATTTTGAAGCTATGGATAGAAGGTACCTTGTGGAAAGAGTGGTTTAAGACAGAAACTGCTCCACTGTTACCAAATGCCTTTTCATAATAACAAACCTTCTCCACATCAGTCAATTGCGACACAGTAAAGATATCGTCCTTACAAGAATGTCCTTTGACATGTATGCAGAAGATTCATGTCTAGATGAGTCTGAAAGATTCTGCGTCGTTGGAATAATAGGTAAATAAGCCCTTGGTACCTTCCCCTCTTCCAAAGTCTTGAGATTGATCCTTCAATACTCTCAAAATTTAATTACCTCTGGCAGAGATCTCCTCTATGCAGACTGGGTCCAATGTACCTGCCGACCTCTGTTCTCCACAGTGCCATTTCTACCTTGTCTATAAGCATATCAAGACTTTAATTTTAGAGTCTAGAGGGTATAAAGTTTCTTATAAAAATTTTGCAGATCTTCTCCATTTTTCTTCTGTTTGCTGCCCTACTTCCATCTTAATCTTTAAATGCTCCCCAGGAATACTTTACTTATTTGTGTATCTCACCAAGCTTTCTTTAAATTTATTTTTACCACTGGCCCCGGAGTCAGGAGGACCTGAGTTCAAATCCAGCCTCAGACACATAATACTAGCTGTGTGACTCTGGGCAAGTCACTTAACCCCAATTGCCTCACCAAAAAAAAACAACAAAAACAAAAAAACAAAAACAAAAAAAAAACCAAATAAATTTGTTTTTAACCTCTACTGCTTCTCTTGTCTTTATAAAGCAAGATGTTCATAAACATCAATCATCTTCCTTCATAAGATTTATAAATTACTTTAAACCAATATTGACTTTGGCCATCATCTCTCACTGTTTGCCAAGTCGTTCCCAAGGAGCTTTTGGTTTTCATTAGTTAAATTTTTGTATAAAAGTATTGTAATCAGTATTGATGTTATTTCTGCTGTATTGTATGTTATCCATTTTTCATTATTAATTACCTGTTCAAAAATAGTTCAGGATTAAGATGTTATAATTACATGCCATTTCTTCCCCTCATTATTATTTTACATTCTAGCTGCTTACTAATTTTGATGTTTCCTTAAATAAGTTAGTGGTGTGTCTGTACACAGAAACATGATTTGAGAGTGACTCTCATAACAAAACAAGTCTTTTATTATCTGTTAAAATATAATCAATTTTACTTTTTAAAGCTATTCAACACTTGCCATTTACAGCATCTAATAATATCATAAAGACACAAAATTTCTAGAATCCAGACCTAAGCATTATGCTGCTCTCACTCTTTTTCTCTGACCCATGCTTTCAGACATTTGTCACCACGCTTACCTATTCTCACTATTGCAACGAAGTCAATAAGTGCTGTCAAGTGGATGTCAATTTAATACAAAGAATTTTAACTTCTAACTTATTCTCATAGGTGTTTTTGCAAACACTTATAAGCATGGCAATAACTACCAAATACCTCATAAAATTATGGCTCTTTCTGCGTAGGATGAAACAAATTCTTCCAATTCTTTCCTTTGCCCCTATGAGGAATACCTGTGAGCTATCTTCCCATTTAGCTGTTTATAGACAGGATTGCTTTGTTTATAGACAAGATTGATAAGTTATACCACAGTTCTCACATTTAGAGTACCAACTCAAAGTTTATAGGTGGTCTAAAAACTGATTTCTAGAGCCCTTTATCCCCCTTTTCCACCATTCTGTTACTATCACTGCAAAAGAAAGGCTGCATAAAACTGGGGTGTATTTTGTATTTTATGGGTTGCAACAACCAAGTAATTCATCAACAAATGGCTAGACTACCGGTGAGAAGTTTCCCTGTGCCTAAGCTAGGTCGACCCTCAGAAAATAGAAATCAGCTTTTTCCTGGGACCATACTCAAAGCCTCTCTAGTGGGATAGCACCTCCAAGAGTTCATGGTCCACTGGCATAACCTTCAAAAACCCAAAATCACCTCTACATCATGATGAAGCATCAGAGTAGGACTTTTTAGACAATTCATAATATCAGGCAATAAATCTTGCCAATGTACCAGTCCAGGGAAGTATAATTACTGTTTCATTTGCCATAATAAATCACATGCAGCAAAATTCCCTTTGCCCTCCTCAAAGTAAATATAGCACAACCTAAGGACCAAATCATCAGCAATAAGATGAATGGCAGGTCAGCAGAAGATACTCCTGAGATCTAGTCAGGGGACCGTACAGTCAGGTACAGGGCACCTATTAATAATATCTTCAGATGGGCAAATGATAACAGCTATACTTTTCCACCCATAATATTTATATAATTACATATAAACATGCTTATATGATTATGCAAATATTTGCTTAAATTCTTAACTGAAAGGGCCATGACCCTTGACAAAATTATCCCAGGCAACTTCAATTGTTTTAGTCAGATGAAATGCTCAAAACATTTTTCTATTTTCCAGTATGGACACCTTTCCCACTTCTCTTCAGTCAAAAGGTTCTATAGTTTAAAAATTGAAAGGCAGACTCTTTAGTTTATTTAACTCTACAATTTGTCTGGCCATTTTTTTCTTAACAGATGAAGTTATTATGGAATCAATCCAAACAAAACTGTATTATGATAAGTGACAGTCAATATGATATGCCTCTGGAATTCAAGCAGTAATAGAATTAATAGCCTCATGGCTAGATCGCTAGAGATCATCATCATTATAACCCTGTTATTTTATAGGTAAGGAAACTGAGGCCTAGAGCAGTGAAGAACTTGTTGAAGGGTATTATTTACTTGAAGCAGTAGGCTATTTTTACTGCAAAAAAGAACTATATATTTTAATGTTAAAGTGGAACACAAGCTTACAATTACATCAAGAGAGCTGATTTGGTACAGTGGGAAGAATGAAGGATTTAGAGTCGGGGTGCTGGCCTCAAAAGCTGCTTCTGCTACACAGTACTTCCATGACTCTGGTCAAGTAACTTAACACCTTTGGGTCTCAGTTTCCTCCTGGATAATATAAGAGAGTTGAGGTAAGTGGCCATTAAGGTTCCTTCCAAATCTAATTTCTACAGTGCTTTGATCCTATGAGAAGCTGACAATAGTGTCAGGTGACACATACAATGTATCATAATAATTTTCAATTATTAAAGTTATTTAATATTTAAGGTCCTCTTGTAATCACTCAAGAGTAATCATTTAATATTTTAGGGTTACAGTGTGTGACTTAAAATAAGTAAGTAAGCACCCATGCAAACTAGCAAGAACCCATCTTCCTCTTCCCAAACCCTGGGAAAGGGATTTGAAAAAAACGAATCTCTGCTACAGGGAAGAAAAAAATGCCAATAAAAAGTAAAAATTCTCCCCACTCTTCAGATTCTGGCACTGAACTGACTTACAAGGGAATTTAGACATAATCTTAGCCTAAAAACTTACAAGCAAAATGAGACCCAGAAAAAGAAAAATGAGTAAAGTGACTTCCATAAGGCCATATATCTTCTTCAAGGCAAGCTAATGGTCATATAAACAAAACCAGGTAGGCAGGCATGATGTAACACAGTCAGGAAACTGTGGTTTGATTCTGACATCTGATACTTCCCTTGATCTCGGAGCCTCAGGTTCCTCACATGTAAAATGGAGATAACATTTGCACAGTAAGGTCATTGTCAGGAAAGTGCTACAGAAATAAGAGTAATTATGCACCAATGCTCAGGTGCTTTGGTAGATGATGGGAAAATGGTAACAGATTTTTTTTGGAACTTATCTGCTGCTTCAAGAGATGGTAGGAAAGGGGCAGCTTGGTGGAGCAATGGATAGAGCACCAGAGTCAGGAGGACCTGAGTTCAAATATGGCCTCAGACACTTGACACTTACTAGCTGAGTCACCCTGGTCAAGTCACTTAACCCCAATTGCCTAGCAAAAAAAAAAAAAAAGAGAGAGATGGTAGGAGAGGAGCACAAAAATCTAACCCTAATGGCCCCTATCCAAGCATCCTACCACAAGGTATGTGAAGCAGCATTTTAAAAATACTGCTTTGAAGCACTGCACCAAAAGTATTTTGACCCCTGATATCTGCTCCTACTTGTTTAATGTCAGATGATGTGATATTCTAATCTTGTCACTGAGAGGACAAATATTTCTAGGCAGATTAACTTACAAATAACTCATCTTGTTCTCCTAAATATGAGCTGACCTCACAGGGAATACAAACTTAGATAAATGGAATCAGCTTTAATTCATAAGAAATCTTTAAAAAAATAAAGATTTTTGATCTAGCACGCTAAGGCAGAAAGAAGTAAACTGATTTTCATGAGCATTTCTTTCTATTTAAGATTACAATTACATTCATGAATATCTCCATCATATGACCCTAGAATGCCTGCTAGTCTCCCTTTCAACAACAAAGTTTATTTGAGCAGCAGCAATCCTAATTTCCCTTTTTATAATGAAACTTACATCAAAGTTATTGAGTGCATACGCCAGTTCTCCTCCTCCTCCACCCTGCTGCTGGGAGGCATCATCAGAAGCTGTGGCCTGGGCTGCATTGGAGATCCCAGTAACAGCTTGTTGCAACTGTTTGTATATCAAGTCCCTGTTAGCTTTATAAGCAGCTACATCAGGGTGCTGAAGGCAGGCCTGGGCAGCTGTATACAATATTGGAATGTTTTTCTGTAGTATTCCTCTGGCTGCAGCCATCTGATCCCGATGGCCCACGTCTTTCAGTTCCTGCAAGAGTGAATTTTATAAAATGGACAGTTACTATCTATTTATACACATTCTGCTCCTAAGAACCATTTTTAATCTGATGTAAAATAACAGTATTCATTGTGAGCTGAGCTTGAAAATTAGGGGGCATGTAGATTAAATCACTAAGTCACTCTGGGGACCCACTTTTACTCCACAAACAAGCCAAACTGGTAGTTCAATAAGCAAAAAACAAAAATGGTCACTAAGTACATGCAACTGAAACTTTCATGCACCATTTGATCCTTCTCAAAATTCTACTTCCCATCATAAAGACACACTTAGCAACACATTCTAGGTGTATCTAAAGTCAAATTGACTTTTTTTCTCCAACTACCCACATTCTACAATTGTGGTTAAGAGTTTAAATGACTTAAATTACTGCCCTTTCATTGAGACACACTTAATACTAAGTGACTACAACGCATAGAGAACTATGTTAAGTGCTGTAAATGCAAAAAGTTTAAAAGATACTATAAATTCCTGCACTTGGGTATCTTATAATCTAAATATAAGTATAAAGATAAACAATTACATGAAAGAGCATATGGTGTACTCTAAGAGTTCAAGAAAGAAATTACTGGTACAAAGAGAAAAGGATCTAATTTCCCTCTGACAGAAGAGGGCAGAGAGCCCAGATTCTCTAAGGAGAGGGCCTAGAGAACCCACCTCATCATTTCCCACCTGGCTGCACTGCTGGACTTCATCATACCCTATCTCCATCCTTCTTCGAGCTTCTTTTTATGATTGTGAGTTTGTTGAGGGGAGGGAATGGTCTTTCTTTGTATACCCACTGCTTAGGACAGTTCCTGGAACCTAATAGGCACTTAATAATGTTTACTGACTGACTGACTACAGTTACTGTAGAGAGTTGGACAAGATTTCCTCTGAGATCCCTCTATAACCAAAAAGTTCTATGAGCTGGGCCTTGAGAGAAAAAAAAACATATCTGTAAGAATAATTTTAAAAATATATCCAAGGGGGCAATTTTGTATGTCTAATATGTTTCAATAGTTCCTTAATGAAATAAAATTTGTAACAAAAATGGCCTCTACTAAGAATAATAATTCACAGCTGAAACAAAAAGAATGGGAAGTTGAATTAGCTTCCAAGAGTCAAATATATTGTCAATATCCACCAAGTAAATCCGAGGGTACAAATTTAAACCTTTTATCATAACCTTTATACATGTAAATAGTTAAAAAGAAAAGGAAGGAAGAAGAGGAAAAGAGAAGAAAAAAAAGCCAGATTTTAAAAAGCCAAATCCATTCAATTATAAGTCTAATCTGATTAATTAATGGTTAATATCTCTAAATAAAATCCTCCTTCTAAAAGTCCTCACATGATACTGTTTCCCTCTTTCAAGAATTTGTTCAGATCTCCTAGCTTATTCAGTGTATCAACTTAGTATTTCCCTCAAAAATACCTTACTTATTTGGCATTTCAGTTTGCACTTAATAGCTTAAAGCATTCCAAATGCCCTATAGGGAAATATGTGGCTTAAATACTTAACAGTATGCTGTGATTTTGTAAATAAGATTTATAGAATTTGGTAATCATTTCAAGTCAAAAATCATTACAAGCGGTTATGCCTAGTCCTTAGGTAACTCAATGAGTTTTGCATGTTTTTTAAAAGCTTATACTATTAAAGGACTTTCTGAGAAGTTTGCCACCATGTTTTCTAACATAGGAAAAGCTGAAATTTTTCCTGGTACAAGGTAGACCACTGTAAGTAAGCCATAACACTTTACACTCAAGTTTTCAAAGAACATAAGATATTTGGCCATTTTTATTTTTCCCTCGAGTGATTTATATACTACACAATTTCACAAAAATGCATGATAGCAAGTAACATTCTAGTTTTTTCTTTAACCAAACAGTAGCAAGACTTTATAATTCACCAAAAAGACCAGATCATATTTTACAACAATAAAACTATCCCTACCAATCTTTACTTTTATAATGTAATTGACATTTCTCCCACTTATTCGTGAGTCATGACATCAAAAGTATTCAGCACCTAATTTAAAGGATTAAAATGACAACTCCACCAGCTGCATATATGCATTGGTTTTATCAGTAACTGAAATGAAATTTCATCTGAGGATCAACCAGACTGAGCAAATAGAAAGTGTACTTAACATTTTTAAGGCAAGAACAGCAGAGAAACTCAAGATAAAGCACATAGACCCTAACTCTATTAGCTGAGCAATTTGTTGAACCTAAATAAATCACTGTTCCATGGTATGTGATCAGTACAAGTTAGATGTAACCTTGTAGCATTAGAAAATGCTACAAGTTAACACTGTAACTTGTCTGTTATTCATTGACAAATACACTACCAATTTATATCTGCTGTGGGGAGAAGATGGAATCTCAAACTTACTGCATCATAAAAATTTTAAGTAATCAACTGCTTTCTCTAAGAAATAAGGGAAAGGGCAAATACTGAGTATTAGTATAACCATTCAAGTTGACAAAATCTCTACACAGAAACTAGCTAGGATTCATGCATGTTGAGAGTACTATGCACATTCACCCCATAGGACACAAATATCAAATGCCTAACATCTGACAGTAAGGACACGAAAAAGAAAAAGAAGCAAAACTCCAAATGCTATGGCCCTTAGGGCCTGGTTTGAGAAACAGAAATATACGCTCATGTTCTGCTTATAGTGCATTACAAATGATCTATTGACAAGAAGTGTACTTCAAAAGTAACAAAACAATTTCCCTCAGGAAGAAGCAATTTTTTTGTTGATGTCATCCCCATATGACCAATTTCAATCATAACCCAATATCTATTCAGATGAATGACTAATTGAGTATGCCTCAATTCCTACTATTGCTCCATCTCTAGTCACATTCTTTGTCTGAAACTGTTGGGACAATTAAAGTGAAATTGGCATAAATAAATAAATGATATCACAGTAGCATAAAACAAATTAGACTTAACTACAGCTCTATTACTAGCATAGTACTGAAAGGATGTGTACTAAATATGTTTACTAGTCACGACACCTTTAGAAAACAAGGCAAAGTTGTTGCTTTCCACTGGCTAATAACAAAATAATGTTCAATACACATACAATCATTTTACCTGTTGCCTTTTGGCTGCCATAATGTTCAACTTATCCACTTCAGGTTTTAGGGCTTTATACTGTATGCCTAAATCTTGCTCTGTGCCTGCATTTCTAAGTTTCAAGATACCATCTTCCACCTGCAAAACATGCAAATAGCTCAAGTTAGCAGTTAAATAATCCGGCGTCTTAGAATTTTCAGATTGCTTTTAATAGCTCTCAAAATGAACAGCTATCTAAAGTCTAGTCAAGGTTTTTGCTGTTACAATCCAATATTTATAAAGCACCTACTATGTGCAAGACAATAAACTTCAGGTTTTTCCCAGAGAAAATGTTTTATTTTCCCTCTACCCAAGCACATGAAATTTGAATTTGAGATTTTTCAATTCCAGGAACTAATAATATGCAAATGAAATCCTACCTGTGAAAGAGGATGAACCTCAAATATTATTTCATTTGTACTATAACACTACTAAGTTAAACACTAAAGCAGAAAAATCATAAAGTGATAGATTTGGGGTAGAGGATGAATTGGAAATGAAACACATTCCAGGCTAGAATGTGGTAAGAACCAATTAAATGGTTAAGAGATGATGAAGTGTACTTTTTCTCCTCCTCTGCTGGGCCAACAGCCAACAGCTTTAATACTATATCACACTACAGAAAGTTGCATTGCACTTACAACTTTCAGCTGAACAAGTAATTTGTAGACATCTGCCATGTCCGCCAAAATAAGCAACCGGGTAACAGCTGAGAGCAAGGAGCGGGCAGCTCGCACCATGTTGCCACGCTTCACTGAAGAACAGGGGTCATCTGCAAATTCTCCAGAGGCACTCTTCATCAAATCACCTATTATAAGGGTCAGAAAAGTAAACATTTAAGTGGAGTAGATCTGGATAACAAAAACTTTTTTAAAACTTCAATTCTAAATAAAAAATTTCCACAATAAGCTAGCTTATTTGAATAAGGATTTTAGAGCTGTCCAGCCTCTGCAACCTACAGCTCAGGACTGTTGACTATATCTATCCAGCTATCCATCTATCTATTATCTATCCATTTTCCCCTTGTTAGCATATGTCATGTCATTTGTACTAGCAAAATTGGCATTTGATTTAGCATAAGAAGGGCCTTTATGGTCATCTAGTCCAACCCTCCCATTTTACAGAAAAGGAAATTAAGGCCCAGGGAGGGTTTGACCAAGGCTACAGAACTGGCACAAATCACAAAAATGGGATTTGAATGTAGGTTTTCTGACATAATCTAAGGCTTTTTTCAGGCTAGGGGACAAACTGTAGGCTGTTAAAGAACTAATCCGAGTTCACAAAGTTCATCCCAGAAGGTTGGAGAACCGGGGCTACAGTTATTTAGCCTTTGCTAATCCCCAGAGCCTATTGAGGCTTTTCCCCACATAACTGTGTACCTATTGTACTTTCCCAATGCCTACCCTCTAGAAAGGTACTGTTTTGTTTTTGTACGCAATTCTCCTAAGCCTAGCACAAAGCAACTCCTTAGTAAATGCTTGCTGAATAAATGAATAGATATAATGTAACTTTAGATGGTAGACCACATATATCATATGCTTAGAAAACCATGGTTTCACTACCCCTTCTCTTCTTCCTCTCCCTTTCTGGCTACCTCCAAATGAATCCCTATAGTTCAACTTACCAATAACACAAATTTAGGAAAGAGTTCTTAGGTAGACTAGTTCAGAGTCAAATGGAGGAAAACTTTGATGCAGCCTATCAAATTCAGTTGCACAACATCCATACAAAGCAAAATGTTACCCCCCTGGGTTCACATATTAATTTTTTGTAGAATTACTATTTGCTAGGATTAAATTAACTCATTTATAAATGCTTTGTAGTTACCCAACACTCACCTCAAAAGGCTTTCCAGTTAGAACAAAACCTATCCCAGTATCCTTAAGTGCAAAAATATTTCAGTTTTAATAAAAGAACCTGATATCCTTCACTAAGGACTCTTATCTACTTCATTTGTAGGGCAAAAGTAAGTACTTACTAAGTGCCTTTCATTTATTCATTCCTTCATTCATAAGTTAACATGGTTCACATCAGGGTTGGGATAAAGGTCAATTTGAACACATCCACATTACTGTAGATGTACACAAAGACAAAATCTGCTTGACATTCTGAGTAGCACTAGAGATGGTGAAAAAAATTCTTATAAATACCCAAATTTATATTATAAATACCCAAATAAAAAGGATATATGAAGGAGGACACTATCCACATCTAGAGAAAGAACTGATAAATAAAAGTACATATAGAGTGGTTTTATATCTATATATCTATGTATGTGTGTGTATCTCTCTCTCTCTCTCTAATGGTAGCCATGGGTGGGATGGGGGAGGAAATAAAGTTACATGATAACTTAATTATATACTATATATAATATATATTATATTTAATATATAATATATATTATATATTTAATATATAGTATATATTATATATTAAAAGGAATAGCAAGTTGTACATAATAGACTTGCAGTTTCATATATAATAATCTTTTTTTCCTATCCTACTACGTTATGGAAATACTCTCATTTTATTTAAGTTCAAAAGAAATAAGATTTAAAAAAAAAAAATAAAAAACCATCTTTACTAGCTTCAAATCAATCAGTTCTCTTCTAAGGAAGTTTAGTGATTAAGAAATAAGCCTAAATAGTGGTAGGAATGATTGGACTTGGATCAGAGGACCTGTGTTGAATCCCACCTACTAGCTGTATGACCCTAGCCAAGGCTTTTAACCTCCCTGGGACCTAATGTAATTCAATTCAATTCAAAAATAAATTATGTACAAGACACTGTGTTGGGTGCTGAGAACACTGGACAAAAAGGAAATGGTCCAGGTCTTATTCTTACATGATTTACATTCTACTAGGACTGGGAAAGAGGACAATGAAACATGTATACCTCCCCCCCCCCCCAAAAAAATACACAAAATAATTTCATGAAGGAGATGGAAATCAGGAAAGGCTTCCTTTATGAGGTTAACAGCTGAGCTGAGCTAAGCCCTAAAAGAAGAAAGGGTAGAGGAGAAAGTGAATTCCAGGTAAAGGAAAGCCTGTGCAAAGGTACACACATGGTATGTCAAGTTTAGGGCACAGAGAGAAGTCCAACTGAGCTAGAACACAAAATGCATGAAGGGAAATGAAATGAAAAAGATCTGGAATAATGGCTAGGAGCCAAATTGTGCAGGTTTTAAAATGCCAGGCTAAGAAGTTACTATTTAATTCTAGAAATAATAGATACTGAAGATTTTTGAGTAAGGGACTGACGTGGTCAGGTCTGTGTTTAAGAAAGCTCGTTTTCATTACTTCCAGAGACATAAAAGAAACACTGGAGAGAAGTAGCAGAAGCAGGGAAATAAGAGGCTACTGTGATAGTCTGGGTGTGAGGTGATGAGGACCAACAAAAGAGAGGTTTTTGACATAGAACTGACAATACTCAACAACTGACTACATAGGAGGGGTAGGTTAAGGGGAAGGAAGAACTAAGCATAATTTCAGGACTGCAAACCTGGGTTAACGGTGGTAGTGTCCTCTGGAAAGGAAAGGGGGAGAAATGAGATCATACATAGTAACTTACAAAAGGACATTTATTTGAAAACTTTACAGATACAGACATTCCACCCCAAAATTGACTGTCTTCATCTCCTTCTCAATCCCCCTTTTAGCTTCTCCTGTTCCTCTTGTCAACCCTCCAAATTAACCCTTTAATGGAAACTGAGTCCAAATGAGAATAGAAGAACATAGCACAATGAATGAAAATTTTGTCTTGCTCTCATTTTCTTAAGCTCCTGGGTACAAGGGGAATTAGTATTTTCTTTTCATTGCTGACAGATGGTATTAGGTACAGAGACTGCCCTGTGATTTCACTGGTATGTGGAACTCCCAGAGAAGGAAACTTCCTCTACCAATGTAGGTAAGCATCTTCTTTGCAAATTAGTTTTAGGGAGTCCCTGGAACGCTGAGAGGTTAAGTCATTTACCCACAGTTACACAACCTGTATGTATTCAGAGGCATGACTTGAACCCAGGTCTCCCTGACTTTGAAGACAGCTCCCACAACATCCCACTCCCCTGATGTCTCAGGTTTATGATATTAATAGTGAAAAAGAAAAAGTAAAGAAAGACAGCCATTGGATGAGAGGTTAAAACAATCCCATATCATTTGTTCTATTGTCTAAACTAGGATTAAACATGCTTGATAAATGTTTGTCCCCAACACCTTCCCCCATTATGAGAGGATTATTGACACAGATTAATACAATTGATTTTTAGGGGTACTCAGTGGTTTAAGAAAAAAAATTCTGTGATATTATACAGGGAAGGGTCTGAAATATGATGATGGTGGCTCTCACCTCTTTTATAAAATACATTTCCTCCTAAAGTGTCAAAATACGAACCCATATACACATTACTTGGAAAACTAGGGCACACAACTCACCCCACATTACACAGTCAGTGGCAAGGACTGAAACGCAGCCCAATTCTATTCTGTACCTACTTTCACAGTTGAACAATAAGCAAATAATAAATAAATAAATAAATAAATAAATAACAAAGCTCTCAGGACTGCAGTATTACCTGCAGTGAAATCACAACTGTCAACACTCCCTTCCCTCAGGGCTTTCCCTTGACTAAACTTAAAGTTAAAAATTTTTGGAGTTCAAATCAAGGACAAGATAAAATAGTAAAAGACATTGGGGGGAGGAGAGGAAGGAAACCACTCCACAGCTGTTTTAGTACTGGATAAGCTATAAGTAGGCAGATTTCAAGCTCATTAAGGAAGACCTTCCTAAAGTAGGAAAACCAAAAATGGAAATAAGTTGCTTCAAGAAATAGTAAGTTTCTTTACACTGGAGATTGCTGGGCTAGTTGATCATTTATTCACCAAGGATACTGTTGAAGAGATTCAGGCTTAGATCAGAGTGGGGATGAATGATTTCTTAAAGGGGGCACTATTGGGAGCTTAGTAGAAAGATCTGGGTTGGAGTCTTGACTCTGCTCTGCACTATCCAAGTTTTCTCATCTGTGAAATGAGCACTGAGTTTGTACTCGATCTTCAAGGTCCCTTCCTAGAAGTTTAAGATTTGAAGAGTCTATTATTCTCATCAGATCATATAATTCTAGTTGAGAGAGACCTTACAAGTCATCGAGTCCAACATCCTCATTTAGAGAGAAGAAAACTGAGACCAGAAATTAAGTGATCTGCCCAAAGTCACCCAGGCAATAATTAGCAGAGCCAAGATCTGAGCCCAGGTTCTCCTGGCTTCAAATCCGGCACTCTTTCCACTAAAGCAAAAAGATGACATTCCTTCTGAGATATTAGCCGAAATCCCCCACTTCAACCTTTTTTTTTTAACCATATTATAGAAGAAATAAAGCACAAAAGAAACCATGCCTGAGAAGCAGGAAAAAAAAAATAATTTTTCCCATTTTTATGCAAGAGCTTAATCTTTCACATGGTAATGTATACTTGCTACTTGTCTGCTGTCCCTTCTTACCCTCAAAGGTACTGCTCACATTCCAACACTATTTTTTACCTATCCAATGAATGAACCATTTGACCTATTTTATAAAGGATTAAGGAAAGGGATTAGACAAAATAAAAGGGTATGGACCAGACAGTTTAATGACATTTATGGGAAACTATATACAACGGGTGAATGCTCAACTAGGCTCACCATACCTTTTCACAGAAAAGAGTATTCAAGACCAGTCAAAGCAACAAAATTTTCTGTAATATTTGCTTCATGCCTTGTATCTCGACCTTGGTGGGGTTTTTTTGCATACAAAACCAAAAGGGTTAGGCTCTGACATTT